ACACCGTGCGCAAAATGTGCTGCTGCTTCAGCGGGTCAGTTATACTACTCCTTGGTAACACCATCTGTGCGATATCACCCAGCTCTTCGTGACTCCTATTCCACCATCGCCAGCACCTCACCTCATGGATTTGACTTACATCACACAGCCGCTCAGAAAATACGTCTGTTATGCAGGCCATAGACGGGGTGAAAACCGGAAACCCTGAAAAAACGGGGTAACATTTTAAAAAAAAACCCGAAAAAATCGGTCGTTTCAATCGGCCGACGTTACCACCAACGGTAAAAGAGAGAGAGAGCTGCGCTATTATATTTGACATGGAAAGTATAGTATAGCGGTTGCAACAATGTATCTATTTGTATCCATTTCGGATACATATGTTTTTATTCGGATACAGGGACGGTCTGACAAACTCATGGGGCCCCGGGCAATAGGGGATCATGGGGCCCCTGTGTCCTTACCCAAACTCAAAAAAGCCTATGAAAAAGGTTACCAGGGGCATCTCATGGGGCCCCCTACTGACCCCGGGGCCCTCGGGCAGTGCCCGAGTTTCCAAATGGTCAGTCCGCCCCTGGTCGGATACAAATAGATACATTGTTGCAACCGCTATACTTTTAAATGTCAAATGTAATAGCGGACTGCAATTCTTTTTCTTCTTTATCTTCTTCTTTTCTTTTTCTTCTTTTTCTTCTTTTTTTCTTTTTCTTCTTCTTTTTCTTCTTCTTCTTTTTTTCTTCTTCCTCCAGGTCACGGCTCATGCGCAGATTTTTTATCAGTAAAAAAAGATCGGCACCGATTTGCCCATCATTGCCACAAAAATCGACCGGTCGGCAAAATCGGCCAATTTTTTTCCAACTTTACCGATTAAGAAAATGTGTCAAAATCACGAAAAACGGGCCGACCCTATTAACCCACTAACGATCCGAAAAATCGTACGATTTTCTTTCGGACCAAAAAAATACAGGCAGATGTTCGAACCATATATGGCCTGCATTAGGCTCCATTCACATTTGTGCAACTTCAAAATTGTGCGATTTTCATTGCGACCTTACAGTGCGATTTTGATGCAACTTTGGTGCGACTTTGGCTTTGACCAAAGATAATTGTTTCTGCTGTGCAAAGTTGCACACAAGTCGCATGTACAACATTCAGGTGCGACTTTCATGCATCTTTATGAAGAATATGGGCCTCAAGTAGCATGAAAGTCGGAACAAAGTAGCGTGGGAACTACTTTGAAGTCGTACGAATGAATGGTACACATTGGGAAACATGGGGGGGGACTTGTCATGTGACTTTGGACCCCAAAGTCGCTTGACAAGTCACATAAGTGTGAATGGAGCCTTAAGGGGAAGTGAGAGGATCTCTAAGGGTCCATTCACACTTATGTGACTTTGGGGCACAAAGTCACATGACAAGCCGCCCCCCATGCTTCCCTATGGGTACCATTCATATCTGTGCGACTTCAAGTTGCATTAACTTCAAAGTAGTTCCTGAACTACTTTGTTCTGACTTTCATGCGACTTGAGGGCCATAGACTTCATGTAAACCCTCCAAAAAATGACCCATGAAAGTCACACCTGAATGTTGTACGTGCGACTTGTGTACAGCAGAAACCATTATCCTTGGTCAAATCCAAAATTGCACCAAAGTTGCACTCATCCAAAGTTCCACCAAACTCCCATCAAAGACGCATTAAAGTTGCATCAAATCTCAATAAAAATTGCACAATTTTGAAGTCGCACAAGTGTGAATTGTAGCCTAAATCATGCAGCAGACGTCTCAGTTTTTTGGAGACCGAAGCCAAAATATATTTAGAGAATCAAAGTGTTTTCTGTATTACTTTAATACTTTATTAAAATGATGCTGATAAGAAATCGACTTGTGTGCGATCGTGCGTTTTTGCCGGGGGCAGAGCAGAGTGTGAAGCTCGTTGTTACACAGGTCATCCCGAGAGACACCACCATGGAGACGACACGTCAGCTGCCACCATCATCCATCCCCCGGGCACGTTCCTCGCGGGGACTCCTCCTGATCACCGATGCTTGTGCTGATGTCTTTACACCTGCCGAGCTGGCAGAGGTGGCAGAGCTAGTGGAGCTGGAGGAGCTGGTGGAGGTGGAGGAGCTGGTGGAGGTGGCAGAGCTAGTGGAGCTGCTGGAGGTGGAGGAGCTGGTGGAGTGGCAGAGCTAGTGAAGCTGGAGGAGCTTCTGGAGGTGGAGGAGCTGGTGGAGGTGGCAGAGGCGCTGGAGCTGGCGGAGGTGGAGGAGATGCTGGAGCTGGCAGCTGCGTTTATATGCGATTTATCCTTGTACATGGCGGAGCCCTGCTGCTGTACTCTGGAGGTCCTGAGTGCCATTGAGCCACCTGCTGCTGTGAGATCGCATATGGTTCCAAGGCTGGGGATGGAGGACAGCACGCTGATATAAGACGCACTACCGCGCGGGGGTCTGATCGCCTGGTGAGAGGCTGCGATTGGTGCTGCTGCTTATTGTCATTCCCCCCAAAAAAATCAGGATTTATACTTAGGGCCGGTTTACAAATACGCGCATGCAGAAACACACCCGGAACGCATCTGGACTGTGTTTCTACAGTGTGAAACCTGCCCTTACTCTAATGTAGCCCATACACGGTTCGAGTTCCGAACTAATTTTCTTTAGAAAATCAGAATTTTTGGGCATTTTGTAATCCGATGGCGCCGCCATTGATTTTGAAATTTGACCAACCAAGCCTGTCATTTCACCTCGTGTTGCTACAGAAAAGAATTTTCATGGCCAAGAATTTTCGTTGTTTCTCTCCAGGTCAGCTCACGCTCGTTTCTTTTTTTTCTCCCACCATTGATTAGAAATTTGTTCGTTTTTCAAAAAATTTCCAACATGTCCGATCACTCAAATTTGACGGTCGCTCGAAAATCGGCCGTTGCTGTGGCCCCACTAATGGTGCAAAAATTCGAACAGAAATTCCTAGAAAAGATTTTCGAATTCAGAATTCAACCCGCGTGTGGCCGGGGAACGCAGCAGCTATACAAACACACAAAAACTCAACCCAGGGGCGGACTGACAACTCATGGGGCCCCCGGGCAATAGGGGATCATGGGGCCCCTTTGTCCTTGCCCAAACTCAAAAAAGCCTATGAAAAAGGTACCAGGGGCATCTCATGGGGCCCCCCTACTGATCCGGGCCCTCGGGCAGTGCCCGCATTTTCCAAATGGTCAGTCCGCCCCTGAACCCGACTAACAGGCGGGTAGGTGTGAGTGGCCCCCAATGCACACTGTCCATGTTCAGGGCTGTACAACCCGCACCCACACACCTGTCCAATTTGATCTCCGGAAGGTTTTTACCCCCTTCACGACCAAGCTGTTCAGCACCGTGCTACCTTAATTGGCAATTGCTCAGTCATGCAATGCTCTACCCAAATTAAATGTATATCATTTTATTTTTCACACAAAAGAGAGCTTTCTTTTGGAGGTAATTTGATCACCACTGTTTTTTTTTTTTATATTTTTTTTTATTATATAAACAAAAAAAGACTAAAGATTTTTGAGGTAAAAACCCCAATATATTCTACTTTCTGTTATGAAACATATCCAATACAATCAAATTTCTTCATAAATTTAGGCCAAAATGTATTCTGCTACATGTTTTTATTTTAAAAAAAGTCCAATAATTTATTTATTTATTTCAGGTACTTATATAGCGCCGTCAATTTGCGCAGCGCTGTACATATATATTGTACATTCACATCAGGCCCCCGCCCCCCGAGGAGCGTACAATCTAAGGTCCCTAACTCACATTCATACATGCAATTTAGACAGGAGCCAATTAACCGACCAGCATGGAGTGTGGGAGGACAGCGGAGTACCCGGAGGAAACCCAACCACGGCACCACCTGCCTGCAGTTTGCATGTTCTCCCTGTGCCTGCATGGGTTTCCTCCGGGTACTCCGGTTTCCTCCTACACACCAAAGACATGCTGGGAGGTGAATTGGCTCCTGTCTAAATTGTCCCTAGTATGTGTATGTATGAATGTGAGTTCGGGACCTTAGATTGTACGCTCCTCGGGGCGGGCCTGATGTGAATGTACAATATATATGTAAAGCGTAAATTGATGGCGCTATATAAGTACCTGAAATAATAATAACACACGCAGGCACGGGGAGAACTTACAAACTCCAGGCAGGTGTTGTTGGGATTTGAACCAACGACCCTAGTACTGCCAGGTGGAAGTGCTAACCACCTAGCCCACTCCCCATTATGGAAGAAAAATGTATTTGAAATATAAAAAACATCTGTATCTGAAATGGATACAAATGGACACAAATGGATACATTGTTGCAACCACAAGACTTTTTCATGTGAAATATAATAGCGGAGCTCTCTGCAGGGACAGAAGTAATTAAATGCCCGGGTGTAGACGGGACGAAAATCGGCTGATTTTTTTTACCGTTGATGGTAACGTCAGCCTATTGAACAACCGATTTTGCGTTTTTTTTTTTTTAAAAAATAACGGCTGGTTTTCGACCCATCTATGGCCTACATAAGTCCCTAATGCAGGCCATAGACGGTTCGTTTATTTTTTGTCCAAAAGAATAATCAGCCGATGTTCTCACTGTTAGGCATCGGCCGAGTTTCGCGGTTCCTCCTCATTTCGTTTATCGGTCATGCTGGAAAATTTATGAAAAAACGGCCAATTTTCGCAATCATTTGTGGCAACAGAACGACCGATGTTTTGTTTTTCGGATGAAAAATCGGCCGATAAACGAACTGTCTATGGCCTGCATAAGAGTGTAGATGTGGGAAAATTGGTAAGAGTTGTGGTTGAACATCCAGGCGTCAAATTTTAGCATCCCTTAAATCAGGGGGTCTCCAAACTTTCTAAACAAAGGGACAGTTTACTGCCTTTTCAGACTTTAGGGGGAACTGGACTGCGGCCATTGGGAGTAGAAATTGTCCTTCTTCATTGGGAGTAAGCAATGCGTCTTTGGCATTTGGGGAGGAATAGCGCCCTATTCTTGGTGTAAGTTGGAGAAATAGTGCCCCTTGGTTGGTGTGAATGTGAGGAATAGCCCCCCTTGTTGGTGTCAGTGGGAGGAATAGTGCCCCATCATTGGTGTCAGTGGGAGGAATAGTGCCCCATTGTTGGTGTAAGTTGGAGAAATAGTGCCCGGTTGTTGGTGTCAGTGGGAGAAATAGTCCCGTTGTTGGTGTCAGTGGGAGGAATAGTGCCCCTTGGTTGGTGTGAATGTGAGGAACAGTGCTCCATCGTTGGTGTCAATGCGAGGAATAGCCCCCCTTGTTGGTGTCTGTGGGAGGAGTAGTGCCCCATTGTTGGTGTAAGTGGGAGGAATAGTCCCCCGTTGTTGGTGTCAATGGGAGGAATAGTGCCCATGGTTTGTTTCAGTGAGAGGAATAGTGTCCAATTGTTGGTGTGAATGTGAGGAACAGTGCCCCATCATTGGTGTCAGTGGGAGGAATAGACCCCCCTTGTTGGTGTCAGTGGGAGAAATATCCCCCTTGTTGATGTCAGTGGGAGGAATAGCCCCCTTGTTGGTGTCAGTGAGAGGAATAGTGCCCCGTTGTTGGTGTCAGTGGGAGGAATAGTGCCCCATCATTGGTATCAGTAGGAGGAATAGTGCCCCATCATTGGTATCAGTAGGCGGAATAGTGCCCCATCATTGGTATCAGTGGGAGGAATAGTGTCCCATCATTGGTATCAGTGGGAGGAATAGTGCCCCATCATTGGTGTCAGTGGGAGGAATAGTGCCCCATCATTGATATCAGTGGGAGGAATAGTGCCCCATCATTGGTATCAGTGGGAGGAACAGTGCCCCATCATTGGTATCAGTGGGAGGAATAGTGCCCCATCATTGGTGTCAGTGGGAGGAATAGTGCCCCATCATTGGTGTCAGTGGGAGGAATAGTGCCCCATCATTGGTATCAGTGGGAGGAATAGTGCCCCATCATTGGTGTCAGTGGAAGGAATAGTGTCCATCATTGGTGTCAGTGGAAGGAATAGTGCCCCATCATTGGTGTCAGTGGGAGGAACAGTGCCCCATCATTGGTGTCAGTGGGAGGAATAGTGCCCCATCATTGGTATCAGTGGGAAGGAACAGTGCCCCATCATTGGTATCAGTGGGGGTGAATAGTGCCCCATCATTGGTGTCAGTGGGAGGAATAGTGCCCCATCATTGGTATCAGTGGGGGGAATAGTGCCCCATCATTGGTGTCAGTGGGAGGAATAGTGCCCCAATCGTTTGTGTCAGTGGGAGGAATAGTGCCCCCAGCCATCATTGGTATCAGTGGGAGGAATAGTGCCCCATCATTGGTATCAGTGGGAGGAATAGTGCCCCATCATTGGTGTCAGTGGGAGGAATAGTGCCCCATCATTGGTGTCAGTGGGGGAGGAATAGTGCCCCATCATTGGTATCAGTGGGAGGAATAGTGCCCCATCATTGGTGTCAGTGGGAGGAATAGTGCCCCATCATTGGTATCAGTGGGAGGAATAGTGCCCCATCATTGGTGTCAGTGGGAGGAATAGTGCCCCATCATTGGTATCAATAGGAGGAATAGTGTTCTTTTGTCAGTGTCAGTGGCAGGCCACAGTTTGGAGACCAATGATGTAGACTATACAATAGTTCTTATATCAGCCGCCATTTAGCACGGTTGGTCACTGTACAGCTAGATATTGAGGATCTACAGACGTGATATGAAATGCAATCAGTTTCCACTGAAGTATTAACACCTTGTATATTATCATTACTTTTCAGCATTATCATGTCTCAGTTCACAGTCCGGCTGTACAAGGATTCTGATTATCACATGGTCAGGGGGCTGTTTGCTGCCAGTAGAATGGAGCTCATTAACAGGGCCTTTAGACAAGCTTTACATCTGCCGCACATCTACCTCCCCCTTCTGTCTTTGCTCTTTCTTCCTCTGCTAAATCCCACACTTGTTCCTGCCTCCATCGCTGCTTTGGTCTTGCTCGTTGTCTGCTTATGGCTTGGAGCCCGATATGTGTTCCTGTCCTCCATCCAAAAAGCTCTCGCCAATGACTTGTTGGACATTCAGAAATACTACCTGGAGAGGGATGGTCGCTGCTTTTGGGTGGCAGAGATGAGAGGAGAGGTTGTGGGGATAGTGGCGGCTATTCTTCCCTCTTTTCCCTGACGATAAAAAAACATTTAGAAATCAAGAGACTTTCTGTATCCAAGAACCACCGCAGAAAAGGCATAGCCAGGGCACTGGTCAGGACGATGGTGGACTTCGCTCAGAAAAGGGGCTGCAAGGCGATTATAGCAACAACAACTTCAGCTCAGACTGATGCACTGAGGATGTATGAAAACCTGGAATTCAGACTAATTCATGTGTTTTATCAGCCAATGCCCTTCAGAAAAGTACTTGACCTCAAAAGCTTTTCCTTTCAGTATAACATTCGACATAACCAGTGATGGTCAATACCTACAGATGTCTTCAAAAGCGTTCTACCAATATAACATTTCTCATGACCACTAAGGGTCAGTCCCTACAGATGACTTCCAAAGCGTGTTCTACGGATATGACATTCTACATGACCAGTGGTGGCCAATACCTACAGATGTGCTCAAAAGTTTGTTCTACCAGTATGACATTCTACATGACCAGTGATAGTCAGTACCTACAGATGACCTCCAAAGCGTGTTCTACCAATATGACATTCCACATGACCAGTGATGGTCAACACCTCAAAAAACTTGTTCTACCAATATGGCTTCAATAATGGTCAATACTTACAGTGAACTCAAATGTCTGTCATTCCAGTATGATATTCCTCATGACCAGTGATGGTCAGTACCTACGGATAACCTCAAAACCTACAGATGTGTTCTACGGATATGACATTCATTCACATGACCAGTGATGTGATGTGCCAATACCTACAGATGTGCTCAAAAGCTTGTTCTACCAATATGACATTCCAACCTAATGCATGTCAAATACATTTCTCACAGATGAACTCAAACGTCTGTCATTCCAGTATGACATTCCAAAAGTTTGTTCTACCAGTATGACATTCTACATGACCAGTGATGGTCAATACCTACCGATGTGCTCAAAAGCTTGTTCTACCAGTATATTACACATGTGCAGTGATGGTCAGTACTTACGGATAATTGCAAAAGCTTGTTCTACCAATATTGACATTCCTCATGATGATTGATGGTCAGAACCTACAGGTGTGCTCAAAAGCTTGTTCTACCAGTATGATATTCCTCATGACCAGTGATGGTCAGTACCTACAGATAACCTCAAAAGTGTGTTCTACGGATATGACATTCCACATGACCAGTGGTGGCCAATACCTACAGATGTGCTCAAAAGTTTGTTTTGCCAGTATGACATTCTACATCACCAGTGATAGTCAGTACCTACAGATGACCTCCAAAGCAAAGCGTGTTCTACCAATATGACATTCCAATGATGGTCAATACTTACAGATGGACTCAAAAGTCTGTCACTCCAGTATGACATTCCACATAACCAGTGATGGTCAATACCTACAGATGACCTCAGAAGCTTGCTCTACCAATATGACATTCCACATAACCAGTGATTTGGGCATTTTCTGTAGCATATATAGCAATGTATTGTAGTTTCCTATCAGTTACACTTAGTTTAGTTAAAGTGGTTGTAATGTAATGGCAACTTTGGGAATTTCAGAAAAACTCCACAACCAAACTTGAGGAAAACAAGCTTTTTATTTACCAGCTGGTTGACCTAGCCAGACTCGTGTCTGCAAGCTAAGTGCCTTGAAAAGCATCTTACATGGTGTATATATCAACAATTACGTCACAATGCATATGTTTCCTCTTTACTTTTTGTAAAATACATTCTGAGAAGTTCAGGATGAAAGCCTATGCGGTTTCACATTTAGATAAAATATCACCAACTGAAAGTTAGGGTGTCAGCTGCTAGACTGGAACACATTGTTCCACAGGAAATGAGGGGGAGGAAGTAAGCTGATGACCTGGTTCTGCAAACATATGCTTTTAGAAATGTTTTAAAGGGGAAACTCTGCAATATTTGGGTGCTGACACACTAACCTTCAGACGTATGGACAAATATGAACAAAGCATATAGCTATAGTGTGTACTTAGGGTTAGCATGAGTCACTCCTGACAAGTTATCCTGATAGGAAGAGATAAAAGATGATAGTGAAGGGAGCTTAAAGCAGTAGTAAACTGCCAGAAAAAAAACAATGGGCCCCTGCAGGTTTAGGTCATAATGTACAAGTATGCACCGCATACTAGTATATTATGGCAGACTTACCTTTACACAGAGCCCTCCACGCAACGCTGTTAAGGTTCCCTTGCGCAGCCATCTTCACCCGGTCTCCTATCCGGGTTCACAGGCTCCACGATAACATCACTCCCACAAATGCGTATGGGAGCCCTCGGCTCCGCCGCAGAGCTCTGAAGGTCCAACACGGTATGCCGTCACTTCAAAGCAAATGCGCCAGGGACGTCACTGGCTGCATCTGTGTGAATATCTCATAAACAGTGTAAGTATAGGAGATATTCATTATACCTACAGGTAAGTCTTATTGTAGCTGTATAGGTAAAGGACACACAGTGAGCGCTCTCAATGAAACAGCAGCTGAACATCCAGGATAAACGCATGTAAAAATCCTCAGTAAAACATATACATATAAAAATGCAGCACTGTAAAATGATCAAATCATGCAAATCAACACAATAATAGTTCTGAAAAGGTGCTCATTAATTCCCAGTGCCAATGGAAAGAATGCAAACTAACCAGAAGCGCATTTAAAATACGCATGTGTGTAAGAAATCCTGGAGATTCCCCTCTCTCCCTCTGGTCAGAAAATGGATATGTGCTGAAATGGATGACGATAACGCCCTCTAGTGGGAAAACGAAATCCTGCAGGTCAGGAAGCTCCCAGGATAGGATATTCCTCTTCAATGGAACCAGGGCTGGGATTGAAATCACTCTGTGGCTGTGAAATTGGGAGAAAGACCCCTCACAGAGAACACAGAGAGATACTCATAGTGTAGTATATTACTTCAATTTATTTAAAAAAAACAAGTAAAACATATAATCAGGTGGCAAGTGAAAGTGACCCACTGACCCTCTTAAAATTATAGGTGGCCGCCGGGCCTCCACATGGCACCGGCGGCGTAGTGTCAACGACGTCCACAGGCTCCTCTGACGCATTTCGTGCGCACGCACTTCTTCTGAGGTAGAGCAAGGACTAGAGGGCGTTATTGTCATCCATTTCAGCACATATCCATTTTCTGACCAGAGGAGAGAGAGGGGAATCTCCAGGATTTCTTACACACATGCGTATTTTAAATGCGCTTCTGGTTAGTTTGCATTCTTTCCATTGGCACTGGGAATTAATGAGCACCTTTTCAGGACTATTATTGTGTTGATTTGCATGATTTGATCATTTTACAGCGCTGCATTTTTATATGTATAAGTCTTATTGTAGGTTTATCTGAGGTACAAGGTAAAAAAAAAAGACTTTACTTCTACTTTAAGCGCACTGCTGGTGATAGACAGCCTCAGCTCTGTTCCTTTGTTCTATGTTGAAGGGGTGAGTC